TCCCACATGGTTATGTGTGAATTTTCAAAAAGTGTTATAACTATAAACATACTCACATGCGAACTCTAAAGACAGAGATTCTTAATCCTAGGAGATCTCATGGACATGTGGCAAAACCCTGAGTTGCTTACCCATTTTATGTCTAACAAATTATAACCACTTTTTTGGGACAAGAAAGTTTCCCTTTTGTCATTCCCCTTATTCCCTTTTATAGCTAAACCTCTCCCTCTATAAATAAGAGAGGCTTAAATCCCTCCACATGAGATCACCTTAAGAGCACTACAAGAACCCAAGCAATCCAGCCTTTTGCTTCCTTTAGAGTTCCTTGTTACCTTGTCCTAGCCTATATCCTTACATCCTCTCCCACCTCCTCGATAATCTACCATCTTTTAGGTAGACCTCCCTTGTAACCTTATCTCACCACCCACACATATTACAAGGATACTCCTAGTATGATCTGATGCATGTCTTTGTCATAATGCTTAATATTGTCATATTATCATGTTCAACAAATTTGTAGGTTTATTGTCAAATTATAGGCTAAAAATATAATAATGTCTTATTAATCAGCCCAATAGTCCCAATTAATTATTGGGTCGGTTCTAGGCCTGTCATTACAAACCCTATAGGGTTTGTTTGACGATTGGTTCAACACATTTATTTATGAGTTCAGGTCAGGAATACTCTCACCCGAATCAAACCCGAACCTTTGAAAGAACAACTTACAAAGGCCAATGGACAAAAACACTACCAAATAAGCCAAAAAAGGTTACAAATAATAATAACTACATATAAAAGTTAAAAGGGAAACTCTCTTTTCCCTAGAGAAGTACTATTTTGAGCCAACATAGAGAAATTCCTCATACTCCAAAACATGAAACACTCTAATCAATACACCGTAAATCGATCTCCATTGATAGAAATGTTCAAAGAAATATAAATTATTTATAACTATAATCTTCTAAAACCAACATATCTTGTCTCTTACAAACCCAAATTAATACATGTTTTTTCATTTATATATTATATATGTAATAACCAAAACCACTGGAAAGATGTCCGTAAGTGGTTAAGTTGGTACCCAAAAGGGAAACTACTCACCAAAAACCTAACATATGCCTTGAAATTCAATCCACATAAATTTTTCAATAACTAAATTAAATAAATACTTCCAAGGTAACTAAACTAAATAAGCTTCTTCAATAGGCTTAATGTAATTATTTGACTGAGTCATTACTTGGTATTATGGTATAATTTCAAGATGGCAAGTGTGAGAATGCATGTTCGAGTTTGAAAACAATTACTTTGTACCAAAAAATAATTGCCATTGCCATAGATTAGGACCGTATCCAATCTACCCCTCTAAAATCAGTATTTAGGTGGTGTCCTAATTGGCTAAAGTTGCCGCATTGATGCTTCCATAGCCAACGTCTTCGGACCATATTAGCACATTGCCCATCTAAGAGGATACCTATGCCACTAAAGATCTCACAGAGAAGCAAAATCCTACATGTACAAGGAGAAGCATCCTCGTCGGGGAAGGTAGATTCTCTTGAAGACCCCCCGTCATGGTAAATGACCTTTAACTCTCTGAACTCTCTAGCTCTCTTGCTCTCTTATTGTTCTCCTCACTCGGACCAGCTCGTCCTCAATAACGTGGCCCGATCAGCTTCATCACCTTATTATTGACTTGAGGGTTGGAGTGCCTTCTTGGGGACCTCATCCTCAGGCCTCTGATTCCTTTCTGTTTGCAGATCTCCTTGATGCACAACTTTGTCCTTCCACCTTGGTTTCATCTACTTGGTAGGATTATCTACTACGCGTTCGGTTCAACACACCTTAGATCATACATCAATCACTAGGTAGTTGGGACAACATCAATCACCAAGTAGTCAGTAGCATAATCATCCAACTGAATCTAGAAGCCCTTTGAGGCCTTGTATTCGGTGACAACCTCTTCCTTTTCTTGAGTCACCCTCACCTTGTCCTCCTCCTTTTCCTTCTTTGCTCACTCCCTCGTCTCCTTCAGTTCGTGAACACAACTCTTTAGCTTCTTGAGGCCGTCCTCCTTGTACTCCATGACTTTCTTTGCCTCGATAGGCTTTGCCTTCAGTTGTGCATTCTCAACCTCTCTCGCCTTGGCTAATTGACGAAGGCTGCATATGTAGTCAACCAAACCAAGACCAAGCACACAACTTGTGGAAAGAAAGGTGCCAACAAAAAAATGAAGAAAAAAAAATACTTACAACCATGGTCTGATGCAAGGCTGAACTCGCCAAAAATTCAATAGTATGGCAGATGGCCTCCCTCTAGATCTCGGGTAACATAATAACCTGTGCAATCTTCTTAGCCACACCCTCAGTTCCCAAAGTATCTCCAGTTCAAACACTCTAGGTTGCCATGTAGATGACAACCTCCTTTCCCCCTCTAGTTGCGGCTTGCTCCTAAAGGCTCCCTTGTGGAGTTGACTGCTAACGATAGCGTTGAGGGGGCACCTCCTCAAAATCCACATTGACCATCACCTCTGAAGTCCTCAGCCTCTTTGACTGCCGAGTGGTACATTCCGTGGAACACTACTGAGAGCTCGCATGGTAGTAACAATTGCCACCTTCCTCTGGGTCGTGGCCTACAAATACCTCATCTTCTTAGTGTTGCCGCCGACCATATCTGTATCTGCACGACATGAAAGGGAGACAATCAACACTCAACAGAAAAGCTAAAGAGTGGATGCGAAAATCATGCCAAGTCAAATCTGACCAGCCGAGGGCCGCATCAGCCCGAAATGGATCAACATGGTAGACAAGGTGTACTCCTAAACATGAACCCTCACAATTTGCCTCAAGGATGACAGCCACCTCATCCTTTAACAACTCGGCTTCGGTCAGGGCCTTTTCTTTTGTCCTCGTGATGACTAGCTCAAAAGGGAATGGCTAGCTGTCTCGGTGCCTCATGAAGAAGAAGCCCTCCTTCCAGTGTTTAACCGAGGAAGGAGCTTTGACAAGCACCTTGGTGTTCAACCGAGTTGACAAATAATAATAGCCCTGTTGGTGTTTCATTAAGTGAAGAAAATGTTTGAACATCTATAGGGTGATCTCTATGTCATGAATGGTACAATAACAAAGAAGCCCGACCAAGTACCAAAAGTTGTTTGACATTAGTTGGAAGGGTTGGACGTGGTGCCACCTCAACACGGTCACAACACCCTGATCTAATGAAAACCTTAGGCTCGTGATTAGATTGTGCTCATACACACATATCTTACCAAGATAGATTGAGGTCACCCTCTCACCTATCCCCAGAAACCTCAAGCCAAACTCTTTGGGAATGATATACTTTTCCCTAATCCGGATCATGTCTTCGGTTGACAGCTTATAGGGGGTCGAGGTGAAGTGCTCCTAAACCTCAAAGGGGTGCCTTGCTCCTCTTCGTTGACAGAATTCCAACATCAACCTCGGTAGTCCCCCTGACTTTGACCTCTTTAGGGACCTTAGTTGCCATAGCCTCAGTTATGCCCTCGCAAAACTCCTCGTTGACCTGAGGCACATTGGCATCAGTTTCAGGAACCCTAACCTCGACGGCCTCCTATTGGGGCCTCAGCTCATGCTCACCCCCCCCCCCCCCCTCGACGCGAGGTAAAGCTTCTAGAAATCAAAGAAAAGTAAGAAAAGGACAAAGTGGAAGACATCTTACTAAGGTAAAGAAGAGCTTGGAACAGTTGAAGCACCAAGGAAGGATGAATTGAAAATGACAAAGTAAATGGCTTGCCCCCTTCTCCTTATATAGAGGCAGCCAATAGTCAAGATCAAACCTGACCAACGGTCCAAATGTGCTACTGCACTCCGCATGCGTGTAAGATTGGGAAGACAAAATGGTGTGACCATTGATTTATACAATCAATAGTAGAAATCTTGAACTAGCATGTCGGTTTGTTCACTAGTCCAACCAAGCTTTGACCAGCTAAAGAAATCAACTAAGTTCTCTGCTGAGCACTTCAAAAGTTCTTCCACTTTGGGTGGTGCCCTAGTTGGCCAAAGTTGCCACATGGATGCTTCCGTGGTTAACATGTTTGGACTACACAAGCACGTTGACCACCTAAGTAGACAACTACATCATCGAAGACTTCGTAGAGAAGTAGAGTCCCATACAGACAAGAAGCGCCCTCTTGCTCTTTTATTGTTCTCCTCAACTTGAACCAGCTGGTCCTCTATGGCTTTGCTCGACTAACTTCATCCCTATTATTGACTTGAGCATCAGAGTGCCTTCCTGAAGACCTCATCCTCGGGCCTTTGATTCCTCTCTGTTTGCAAATCTACTCAGTGTATGACTTTGTCCTTCCACCTTGGCTTCGTCCAATTGACAAGATTATTTGTTACGTATTCAATTCAACACACCTCGAATCGTACAACATCAATCACCAGGTAGCTAGGACAGCATTGGGTAATGACCTTTAGGCCCTTTTCCATACTCAAGGATGAAGGCAACCCAGCATTTTGTAAATGTAGCCTTCTTTGTAGAACAGTAGAAGTATATCTTTAAAATCATTATAACATAGTGTAGTGGTTTTAGAGGTTTTTGAATTGACAAGAAGAAATGAGAAAGATAAGAGTTCATGATTTATATAGACTTAATTTTGTTATTTTTAATCAATTGTTTCATGGGTTGGGTGGGAAGTGGGGAAGGGGGAGGTGGTTAAAGGGATACATCCTATTTGCTTACCATCTTATCATTCATTTTCATTTTTTTTCTCTCAAAGAAACATCCATTATGAATTACTTGAGTGTATATATGTATGGATATGTATAGAAATTGAGAGAGAGAGAGAAACTGTTCATCTCGTGAACAAGAACTAATTCACTAAGTTCACTCTTGTTTCTCTACATGCAACTTACGCATAATAATAATAATAATAATAATAATAATAATAATAATAATAATAATAATAATAATAATAATCATCATCATCCATTCTCAACCCAAAATATAAAGTATAAACAATCCAAAAAGAGAGACAGAGTTTACCCTCTGCGACCTGCCTTCCCAAATTTAGCGGTTTCTCCTCCAAACTTAGTCATCTTCTAACTGCTGTTTTCCTTCAGATAAGGTACTCCCTCCAACTCCAACTCTAGCCAGCACCCACCCTCAAAAACAACGAAACCCCATCACCTTCATCCTCCTCAGAGAGAGAGAGAGAGAGAAGCCAGCCAAATAGCCTCTTTGGGGGAGATAAGAGGGCAGACGTTGAACAAAGATTTGTTCTTCTCTGTTTTCTCCTCTCTTTCCCTTTCTGGTTTTGCTTTTTTTGGGGTTTTTTCTGCAAAATGTCGGCTGTTATGGGAGCTCTCTCTGGCTCCAAGGATATTCCCTTCAATCCTACTGGAATGGAGAAAGAAGGGGAGAAGAGCATCACCAAAAGCAACAACTGTGCACAACAGGGAGAGCTAGCTGATGAGGATGAAACAGAGAACCTCAGTAGGAAGTTCAGCTCTGCTTCTCTGTCTTCTACAGAGAATGACGATGATGGCATCGATGATGTAGATGATGAAGACGACGACGCCAAGTCGAAAGCTGAGAAAGAATTAGACCTTGGGCCTCAGTTCAGCCTCAAAGAACAGCTGGAGAAAGACAAGGTCTCATGATGGTCTTTTTTTCTTACTGGTTTTTCCCTTGTTTTTCTGGTCTGCATTCTCCATTTTCTTAAATGGGTACCCTTTGCTGATATGAATAGTTTATATTTTAGGATGATGAGAGTCTGAGGAGATGGAAAGAACAACTTCTTGGAAGTGTGGATTTATCTGCAGTTGGAGGTATGCAAATCCTATCCTGTAATTAGAATTCTGTGGATTCTTTTCTCTCAGAGACCCAGTTGAGAATTTTTATTACACCCAAGTTCTAGTTCAAATTCGGTACAACATTTCATTAATTAGAGTGAATTTTGTCGTTCCTGCAGTATTTGATTTCTCAAGCAGATCTGTCACTTTTTTTCTTGGAATTTGAACAGAAAATGCAGAACCAGAAGTTAAGATTCTGAGCCTCACAATCCTGTCACCAGGCCGGCCAGATCTGGTCTTACCAATTCCATTTGCTTCAAATTCTAAGGGCTGTGCATTTGTCCTCAAGGACGGAAGCCGCTACAGACTGAAGTTCTCTTTCATCGTCTCCAATAACATTGTCTCTGGGCTCAAGTATAGAAACACTGTCTGGAAGACTGGTGTCAGAGGTAGAAATTTCCATTTCTCCATTCATTGTCGTTTAATTCTGTAATCTTTCTTCTTCTGGTCTGAGTTTTCTTCCTCTAAAATGTTGTTGATCAATTATTGACAGTGGAGAATACAAGAGTGATGCTAGGAACTTTCAGTCCTCAGCAAGAGCCTTACACTTATGAACTAGAAGAAGAGACCACCCCTTCTGGTATGTTTGCTAGGGGTTCATACTCTGCAAGAACCAAGGTAAATACCCCAACAGAAATCAGGCATCTTTTAAATAGAAGCTGCTTAATTTCTTAACACCCATTTTCTTCTCTGTGTTTCAGTTTGTAGATGATGATGGCAAGTGTTATTTGGACATGAATTACAGCTTTGAAATCAGAAAGGATTGGCCATCACCCTCTTGAGGTTTTCATCTTCTCCCTGCAGTTCAGTCATGGTAGCTTGGGACTGTACTAAATGACCAATTTAGAGAAGTTTCTTCCATTTTAAAGCTGCAACCCAACTGGGTGAATTTATTATAACCCATTTCTTCAGTAGGATGGTTAGGACAGAGTTGGTGATTGAAGCAAAATGGGTAGTTAATTTAGATAGAATTTGTATATGAAGTTCTGTTCTGAATTCTTTGGAACACAAGGGCTCTTATGATCTATTGTTTCCTGTTTTTCCATGGGGAATGTTTGGTCCAGTGTTGAATCTACCTTCTGAAGTTGAAGCTCCTAAAGATGCAAGGCTGTTTGATGGCATTGAAGCGCCATGATCTGCATGCCTCTTCAGTGCTTCCTCTCTTTCTTTATTTCAAGTTTCTATTGTGTACAACATGCTTGCTTATTCTGCTAGTTGGTTTGTTTCTTTGTTTGTTTGTTTGTTCCTCACCTTGTGTGTCATGACTTGGGCATTTACTTCTACAGTTCTACTGTGGGGTTAGTACTATAGCCAGTAAGAAACGCCCCTTAGAATTGAATAATTACTCTTTACAAGGACGAACATGAGATGATAACTTTATGAGCTTGGAGCCCACATGATAAGGCCTGATAACCAGTAATGTTACAGTTCCTTTTCCTCTCTCTCTCTCTGATCAGTCATTTCCTGGGTGGTCCAAGGACCCTTTTTCTACAAGGACTCAGGCCTTGTGAATTTGAATAAAGGAGTGGGAAAAAGCATGTATGTAGTGAGACTCAGAGAGACCCAGGTTCAAAATTTGATGAATGGGAAAAGGGTCTAGGGCCGGTCCAGGCTGCATTGTTTTCCCATTCACGGTTTCACTGTCTGCAGGACGGACGGCCCATCAATCTGGAAAGTGGACTGTCAGTTTTTGGGCTGCCCACTACCCCAAAGTTCACACTTATCCATCAAAAAAAAAAGGAAAAAAAAAAAGAAAAAGAAAAACTGGACCCCAAACCCAAAGAGAAAGGGCAACCAAACAACACTAAGATTTTTTTTGTAATTAACAAGTTTGCATAGAATTTTACTATTGCCACTCTTCCTACGAATTTTGACTCAGTAAAGTGGATCATGACCTTTAAATTAAAACGAATTACCCCCAACCAATAGAGACCCCACTGGTATGAAGAATTTTGAAAGAAATGTTACAGTGAGGACGCTCCTTCATCGTCAGATTGGGATGCTACTGAACTGCCATGCGATCACCTACAGCTACAGGGGAATCAGGGTCCACCAAACCATTAATTCAGTATTTGGGCCCTTATTAAAATATGGGCTAAAGACCTAGAAAAGAAAATTATTTGATGATTGGAACTAGATATCTATAATTTAAAGATCCTCCTTTTGTGATAATAAGGTGACTGGTAAATAAGGCCCGTGATGCTAGCATACTTGCTATCTGCATCAATTCAAATCTGCTAAGGTTTGGGCCCACCGGTGATACTATCAAAGTTGAGGTGTTGAGACACGAAAGTCATGAAAGACTTCCGTATGATTTTTTCAGTCAATCAGGTGGACATTTTTCTCTTGGAAAAGAGAAATGAAAATGAAAAGCCCAATAAGGACGGGAAGATGTACTTGAGAGTTGGGCCCACCATACTGACGCGATCATTATTGTTTTTAATCCGTCGTTGATCCAGCCCAGCCGGTTGGACGTCCTCTGACTTGTTATGTATGTAATAAGAAAAAATGATGGACTCGGTCCCCCTATTTACTAGTTCCAATGGTTGACCATTGACCCATCTAACCTGATAAATGGGTTAGTTGATTATTTTTTGTATTATTTAGTTATTTTAAATTTTGAGACTTTTATGATTTGAATCCATAGATTTTTATTGTTGCAAAGGCCGGGTTTTAAAATACTGAACGTGAAAAGTAGATGCACAACATTCTTTTTGTGTGTTAGAAGAGAGAGAGAGAGATTTAGGGAGAATGATGGTTTAGTTCGGGTCAGAATTTTTAAGTTCAAAGTACAGTTGGGATGGATGTCAATTCGAAATTGATGTCAATTTATGAGGTGCATTTGTGTGTAGAGTGAGGGATTTTTGACATTTTGAATGTTTATAGCTCTTCAATGGAAATCAGAAATTTATATTGGGCCTGTTCGTACTTGTCCATTTTTTTTTGTTTCTTTTTTCTTCTCTAAAAGAATCAGATCAATAAAACTAAAAAAAATAAAGATATCTTTTTAGGTTCATGTCTTAAAAACCAATCATGAATTCTTGCCCACATGAACCCTACCTACACCTACCACGTATCACTACGGTTGTACATTGAGAACATTTCTTGTATAAACTGAGTTAAATGTTGAATTGTTTTTTTGGCCCCCAAATTTTCATTTGGGACAAAGACCGACTCCGAACTTATTTATTGTGCTCCATAGTAAAGATAAAATTGTGAAAATGTCTATTTTATATTTTTATACTTTTATTTTTTTCTGTCTACAATTTTCTGTGTTTTATTGTATTTTCTCTTGTTCTTTTGCAATTCTCTATTTTTTGTATATTTGTGTGTATATATATGTTAAGTGAGAGTTGTTGGGACCAATGACCTTACCTAAGAGAGGGGGGTGAATTGGGTAGAGCTTTAAAAATTAAATTCTTTGACTATAACCAAGTTAAGTTCAAACTCTTCCCCTAAAATTGAAGTTAAAACTTTTTGATAATTAGAATCAAGATGCACATAAATAAAGGCTTAGTGAGTTAAGCTCAATAGTTAATCAAGATATTGATCTCAATGAGTAACATAACTATTGAACATGAGTTGTAGAGAGAGGACTAACCACTAAAGGTGCTAAGAGAAGGACCAGCTACAAGATGGGAGCTAAGATAAAGACCAACTATCCAAGTTGAATCAACTTAAGATTCAAGAAGCTGTTAGATATTATAGGAATCTCAAGAACAAATTAACTGTTGAAAGTAAATATAGTTGAATAATAAATGAACAATAAAGATAAGCAATTGTAAAGAAATAAATGTAAAATAGTTAATGTAAATGGTTAGCAGATGGAAGATGCTAGTAGATAAAGCCCAAATTGCTGAACCAAGAAGCTAGTGCAGTTAATAAAGTTAGTGAGGTTAGTAGATTAATAACTGCACTAGATGATCTCTTGTATCTTATAGATCTAAAGAAAAAGAAACAAAGTAAGCAATGATTGCAAGATCTCAAGTTATTGTGGTTATGAGAGAATGTTAATAAATTTAGTGAACAAATAAATTGAAAAGCTTGAAGAAAATAAAAGCACATACACAAGTAYACAAATTTTTAATAAAGGTTTGGCAAACCTTGCCTATGTCCTCTACCTCAAACCATCACTAAGGATTTTCACTAATTAGCTAGACTTCCTGGGTGCCACCAAAGCCTTTTACAACCAGTAGGGCTTCATATGTTCCTATAAGACCTAAACCAATTGGACTTCATGGGTACAAACAAGACTTAACCAGTAAGACTTATGGGTGCCTATAAGACCTTGTGTAGTTAGGCTTAATAGAGGTGCTGACAAGACCTTAATGGTGCCCAAAAACTTTGAACACCTACCTGCTTATAGATGCTCTAAATGGGTAGATATAACAATAAAAGCACAAACTATTCAGTTACTACAGTTGCTCTATAAATGCTCAACTTAGTAAAGAGATCTACAAGTGTAAGGGAATACACTTACATAATAGCAAAAGTAATGCCACAGACCAGCAATTACAATAAGAACTGTAAGCTCTACAGACCTTGAAACAGCAAAGCTCACCCAGTAAGATTGTCGTGGATGTAACCTAATGTAACTTCATTCATAAAGACCCAAAGTCAAAGGCAAAACTCAGGGAATCAACAACTAAAAGAATGATTAAGTATAATCAGAGTATGTCTCCCCCCTAAAGTGACGTAGTAGGCGCATGTGAACATAGGAATYAGAGCAAATTCCACGCATCACAGCCTGACATGTGTTACCATCTCAATGATACCATGATTCAAACCCATAACCATTCGAAGAATATTCTAGAATTCTTGATTCGCGCATATTCCCAAAGAAACCTTACTTTTTCCTATAAATAGTCAGACTCCTAACACAATAAGGGACCTTTCCGAAGTATCCTAGATTCGGTTTGACCTTTGCATTCTACTTGTCTCTAGAACTTAGACCGTCCTCACACCGCCTTCCCCACAATAAGCTCAAGGGCTTCTCAACTTTTCCCATCTCTATCACTATTAAAGTTCAAGAATCTCTTCAACAAAAATAGCTCTAACTAGCTTGCTATACTAAAAACAACTATACAATATATACAAGAAAAGCACAAGTTGTTTTTTACAAACTTGATTTTAATCTCGTGCTTCTTGTTTTTGAATCAAGCAAAATTGCTCTATTTATAGATGCAATGATTGGTTGATTCTACATTTTTGGATAGTCAACTATGTTTTATAGTCAGGCTGAACTTACCTCAGTTGTCATAGTTAGTCAATTATACATTTCTAAGTAGTTGACTACCCTATGGAGCATGATCAATCTTGCCTAACAAAAAACCAACATTTAGAATCTTTGGAAATTCTTATTCAAAGGTTTGGGATATCTTAATTTCGTTGACTTTCAATATGTATTTTTCTAATTATGATCACTTGTTTAAATTCAAGAAAGCCTAAGAACCAAAACTATTCTAGCCATTGATTTCTAAGGTTATCTGTATTGAGTTCAGTTTTGTTGAGTATCAAGAAAGTGCATCATATGCAACTGATTAAATCAAGATCCTAAAAGATTGACACATTTTGAGCACAACTTGATGTAGCTTTCTCCTCAATGAATTATTGTAATAGTTAACCTTTAAGTAGCTCCAAAATTATTTAAGTTTTTTAGCAACCTTGATATTCTTAAATTGCTTGAAACATCCTCACTTGGAGAGATGTGGTGATGGTGTAGAGATCATGTAGCTTAAGCAGATAACTCAATAAAGCTTCCATTTCATCATCTTTGGTAGAGCATTCTTGATTTAATATATTTTTGGCACAAAGAAGCTTACTAAAGATTACCACACTTAATTACACCACTAGTCAAGACTAATGTGATGCACGAGCTTTATTTATAAGAAAAATTGATGATGAATCTCTATGACATTTCTAAGTATGTATACTTTATCCAATTACAATCTAAGTTATACTTTAGTGAGAGTGGCCAATCTAAGTTATATTTTAGGCTTCTAATTTTTTATGCACATGCCTAGCAACGACAACCCCCTCTACCTCTAGTCTCTCTCTCTCTCTCTTTCTCTCCTTGATATTCTCGATGGCACAAACCCCTCGGCTGCCAATGGGAATACACAAGCACATTTTGGTGTTGTTTGGAGTGTGAAGCTCAACGATAGGGAAAGGGAGAAAGTTTGCTTTGATTGCTTCTGTCTAGAGTTTGAGGAGAGTAGGCGGTGGAGTGTGAAACTCAACAACATGGAGAGGGAGAGAGATGGGGTTTTGCTTTGATTGCTTTGGTGGAGAGTTTGAGGAGAGTATAGGTGGAGAAACGAGGAAGAAGATCGATTGGTTGGCTTCCTTGGAAGCTCGA